CCTTTTTTCTATGAACATTCACTAATATTTCAGTGAAATTAACTTGTTTTGTTTGTTAAATTTGACTGTTACATTTTACAGTATATTGCTGTTTTTTCCTTGAATTAACGGTAATCTACTGGCAGCTCTGATTACCAGCACGTTACTGTTTTTCTACAGTTCGTTGCCGTAAATTAATTACAGTTTATTACTGTTAAATTACATTTCATGCAGTTTTTTTCCATCTTACATCTTTAACCCTTTAAACCCCACAACAAAATCCTCAGTTCTAAATGAACACTTATAATGTTTCCACACTACAGAGTGTTAGAGTAACACTGAAGCAGTGCTGAAGTTAATGAGATAATTCTGTGATTAATTATGTGATGATTGTGCATTAGTGATTAACACCCTCTGTTAACAAGCAGAATCACTGAATGAAAGAGAAACACAAGAACTATGATAAAGTTGTTTCATGTTTCTGATTGCGTTTTATCTAAATCTGTAGTTCTTTAATGATGTGTGTGTTATTGCAGTTCTACTTTAGTTGGGCTCTTGACCCTTCACTTTTTAATGCTAGTTTGTCTGGTTGTTGTAATTATGTTTGTAAAGCACATCTGTTATAGTAATAAAAGCGTAGAAAAATTATGCTTAAATGGTTCTGGTTCATTATTGATGATGTTGTAATAATCATTTTGTGGCCTGATTCACTGATCTCATTCAGTGGCCATCACCATTGTTGAGATTCATATGCTGATTCTTGATGTCTGCGTGTCTAAACAGTGTGCAAAGTGCTTTTAATGTTCTTCATATTGTTTCTTTAAAATGCAGTTGTGATCAATAACAAACTATATTACACATCACCACTGATGACATCCGTGATTCAGGCCATGCATGACAACTTCAACAGTATCAAAAAAACAGTAACACTCTTTTAGAGTGGGACCATATTTGCTCCGAGCAGTGTTAATTTAACACTCAGGATTTTACTGTGTAGCATGCATCGCAGCATGAAGCTTTTGATTGTCACCATTGTTGAGATTCATATGCTGATTCTTGATGTCTCTCTTTGAGTGTGAATTACATAGCAATTCAAAATGTTTTAAACGTAAACTGGTTTTAATCCTTATTTTCTGGTTGTCACAACACCGATCTATTTCATGCTGTGAACATAACTCATTTAATGAGACTCTGAATGAGTCCAGCAAGACTCTAAGCCAGTCTAGTAGCTGATGACTATGGCTATCAGAAATAGCCAACAGCAACTGACCAACCATGCACTGTTTTAATGGAAAACAGCATGTTACTGTCAAAATTTGGCCGTTTTTTTACAGCGATTTTTAACAGTGCAGGAGTTAGAGGAGAACGGGGTAACATGAGCTACACTGTAAAAAATTGCTGTAAAAAAACGGCCATATTCTGACAGTAACATCCTGTTTTTTCATTACAACAGTACAATCCCATAAAAAAAAATAATGTATTCTGGGTAATATTTGTTATCTGACTTTTTTTCTCATAATTGCGTGATATAAACTCGCAATTCTGAGAACATATCAGTCCCCCCCCCAAAATTGGATGTTAACTCGCAATTGTGACTTTATAACTCGCAATTGTGAGTTTATATCACACAATTCTGTGAAAAAAATGTCAGAATTGTGAGATACAAAATCCCAATTACCTTTTTTCATTTTTTATTCAGTGGCGGAAACGGGCTTCCATAGTTTTGATTAAATAATAATAACTAAAAAAATACAGCTAACTAACACAATAAAATGCAATAAAAACACCATAAAAAACATGATTTATGAAAATTAATAAAAAGACGCCAGAGTTATGTTTTTGCAAATAAACTTTCCATATATAAAGCATGTTTGTGTGTGGCTTAAACTATATAAATAAATAAATAAAATTCTACCAGGAATTTATTATATAAAATTTCTCCCCTACCTACACAGAAAATATGTGTTTGGGGTGTCACCATGATGTAACTTGCCTTAAAGGCACCTTGATGGAGCTTCACACATACAGGTATGCAGATGCTTTCACACTGTCTGGACATAAAACACTCTAAAGGAACGCCCAGAATAATTAAATATTCAAATGTACTAATATAATAAATTTATTTTGTGTTTTACCAAACATGACAATAGACATGAAATATGGCTTGGGATGCAAATGTTACTGTTTTATCAATCTTTTATACCATTGCAATTGCTTTTAATAATAGAGCTTATTCATATTAATACATAGATAAACAATGTCCATATAGATTAATGTCCACACTACAGTATATTTGAGCATTTAAGAGACAAGTGAAGTGCATTTCAATCGCAATTCACAGGACGGTATTAATATCTAGAAGTGAAATGGAGGAAAATAGTATAGAGTTGCTTACAAACCTGCATGGGCTGTTTTTTTTAAATTTTTGGTAAGAAAGAAGAATTTATGTAATGTAAATGTTCATATTTAAGCTTCTAAAGAGCAGTGGATGCTGTAGATCTGAATCTATACCTACACTCTGGTGTGTGTGTGAGTAATAATGACAACAATGTTATGAGTTCCAGAAGTTGGAGGTTTGCGTTAGGCTTCTCCTGGTTGGCCACTACATGCTGGCGGCAGTGTAAATGAGAGTGCAGGACCGCAGCAGTTAACCCAACCATCCACACAGCTTAAACAGAAACTCCAGCACTCATCTGAACACACTGGAGTAGGTAAGAAAAAACTTGCACTATGAATATTTAGGACTTGGAAATATGTTTAAGAGCTGTGCACACATATGAGAACTAAAAACCACTCTAACAGAACTCCAAATATACAAGCAACAGAGACCCTAACAGTCTGGCTTATGCATATAACTCAGGTTCCCTGAATGAAGGAATGTGACGCTGCTTCAGTAGCCAGTGTGGGAGCTCTGCCTAAAAGTGAATCATTCCACAGAATCATCCCGATTTAGTGTTTCTGAATAAATCGGATGAATGAATGATTCATTGCCATGACTCAAGACAGTCACTTGCCCCCACCTATTCAAGGACAGGAACTAACTTGTATAAGTCGTGGGGAAGTCCCCCCTTGGGGAAGTCGTGTCCTAATGGTTAGAGAGTCGGACTCGTATCCCAAGGGTTGCGAGTTTGAGTCTCAGGTCCGGCAGGGATTGTAGATGGGGGGAGTGAATGTACAACGCTCTCTTCCACCTTCAATACCACGACTGAGGTGCCCTTGAGCAAGGCACCGAACCCCCAACTGCTCCCCGGGCGCCGCAGCATAAATGGCTGCCCACTGCTCCGGGTGTGTGTTCACTGCTGTGTGTTTTCACTTAGGATGGGTTAAATGCAGAGCACTAATTCCGAGTATGGGTAACCATACTTGGCCACATGTCACGTTACTATAATACGTCTGCCTATATATTAATTAAAAAAAACGGCATCCATAACTGTTCACAAGTGTTTAAGACAACTGAAGATGCACCCCAAACTAGTTAGAGCCATCTTGCAATTCCTGTTATGCAAGAGGCAGAGGTCACACACTTTCCGAATAAGAACGAATGTGTCGGAATTAAATGATGACAGTGGAATCTGGGTCAGAGTGATTCGCAGTTCAGTGAACAAGTAAAATCCATTGGCTAATTTTTGTGTTGGTTATTGAATACATGGAAACCAGATTTTGTGGGGACAGCAATTAAGCCTTTGATCAATTTGATGGGCTACATGTCTAAGCTTTCAGAGAGTTATCACAAGGGCTTCAAAACTTCTAAAAGGCCCTGCATTCTAAAACTTAGAACCGTCTTTAAAAGGACAGTTCACCCAAAAATGAAAATTCTGTCATCATTTACTCAACCTCAAGTTGTTTCAAAGCTGTACGGATTTATTTCTTCTGCTGAAAACAAAACTAAACATATTTTAAAGAATTTGGACAATCAAACAGTTGCTGGAGTATTTTTTTTTTCATACCTTGGAAGTCAATGGGTACCAGCAACTGTTTGATTACCCACATTCTTTAAAATGTTCTCTTTTATGTTGAACAAAAGAAAAAAAAACTCATACAGGTTTGGAACAATGTGAGGGTGAGTAAATCATGACCGAATGTTCTTTTTTGGGTGAACTATCCCTTTCAGAGCATTTCTGAGATGTTATTTTTACGCATATTAGTCCAGATCAAAGTCTGCAGTTAATTAGTGCCAATCATATAGGAACATATTGATCTTCATAAACTTTACCAGTGATATCAGAGGCAAGGCAAGTGCATAAGAAGCATCAGGTACAAGTTCAGACATATCAGAGGCGAGTATAACTGTCACTCACTGCATTCGAGGCTTTTGAGGTTGTAGTGTCAGAGGCAGGTTTGGCTTGTCAGCATTTTAGAGATAATTTACAGGAAGCAATATGGTTTCTGCAAAAGTATTATCACAACGATCAAGCTCCAGACTGTTAAAGGTACAGTGACAGTGAACACAAAGCAGGCTATGCACAAAACCTGTGTGCAAATGTTTTCACGCAGAAATCCTGATTCATCAAGACACTCATAATTTCTTTTCTACATGTAAACTCAAACCACACGCTTCTGAAAAGAGAATCATTGTGGAATTAGAAACATGGAATGTGTTAAAGGGGTCATATGATGTTGCTAAAGAATAACATTATTTTGTGTATTTGGCGTAATGCAATGTGTTTATGCGGTATAACGTTAAAAAAACACATTATTTTCCACATACTGTACATTATTGTTTCTCCTCTATGCCTCGCCTTTCTGAAACGCGTCGATTTTTACAAAGCTCATCGGTCTGAAAAGCGAGGTGTGCTGTGGCTGACTCTTAACTTTTATAAAGAATATCTCTTTGGATTTGAGACTTTAGTCTTTGCAACTTTAGGGATCTTATCTATGCACAAACAGCTTGTAACACTCCAAAGAGAAAGGAAAACTTGAAATTGCATCATATGACCCCTTTAAACTGGCATATAACAATACTAATAGAACTAATAATGCTTTATGCTTTTATATAATAGAAATTGTGGCCCTATGTAGCAACTATATTTCTTACCTATTGCAGAGTATCAAACATGATTTGTGTTCTAGTTGGTTCTGGGATAGTTTCTGAACAAAAACTCAGCTAATCAAGTGTAGCCTAGGCCTGTATAAAAGGTGTTTATTGTGTTTCATCTGGGTTTGAAAACAGCGCACTTGGCTTTACTTGAACATCTTGCCACACACAGAGTGCATCTTTAGACAGCATAAGGGAAAATGTGTACTTTGAATATAATGCAAGTCACACAAAAACTGATGCAGAAATGTAGATACGTTTGCAGAAAGTAACAAATGGCTGTATAGGAGAGGTTCTGCAGACTGGAAATGGAAATGAAGTTTGGGTGTGTATTATATTAGTTCATAACCAAACACTCTCTCTTAGAACAATCTAAATTCATCAACATTAGAAAAAGGATATTACCAAATTTGTGTATATGCACCTGTTGTAAATATGGCAAATATTTTGTGTGAGAACCTATTCTATGACAGAACTTATGACAGCAAACTGGATGTTTGATTAATGATGAATTGATGTCATATTTAGTGGATGCCAATGAGGGGACTAGGCTGTGCTCACCTCTGTTATCACAATACTGCGAATAAATACCTCAAGAAACCCATCAGCTGTTGCCGATCATTTCTATCAAATCAACTAACTGGTGTAACTGGTCCTACTCACAGGTTTGAAGCAGCCTGTGCAGGTTTCAAATCAGCGTCAACTGACGTAGAAGGTGGGCACACTAACAAGAATGGTAACCATAAAGACGGTAACCATTAGCGTTAATTACTAGTGTGCCTCTTGAGGTTTACCTGCATAGCTCTTACTAGCAAGCCTCCATAATACTCACCTGCATAAACCACACTCCGGGTCACGGCACGTTTCCCAAAAGCATTGTTAGCTAACTAAGGTCAGAAGTTCCATTAAACTCTATTGGCAACTTGTGACCATAGCTGCTTTTGGGAAATGCACCCCAGAGCAGGATTTGAACTATAGCTTCAACCTGCGTAGACGGGTGTGCTAACGAGGAATGCCAAAGACTGCGTTTACATGCACAGCTCTTACAATATGACCCTCATTACTAGGGCTGTGTGATATTGAAGAAAAATGCGATATGCGATACCTTGTTAAATAATGAGATTTTCGATATGCGATATTGCTTTAAGTGTGTAAAATCTATTTAAATTATATTAAAATTTTTTTTAAATGAAAATGATCTTACCAATATATATCTTTTACATACTTTCTTGAAAAAGATAGCATCAATACAACTTCTAAAAGTGACCAGAAGTGTTTTAGCCAGTGCTGTCAAATGATTAATCGCGATTAAACGCATCCAAAATAAAAGTTTTTGTTTATGTAATATATGTGTGTGTACTGTGTATATTTATTATGTATATTTAAATACACACACATACAGTATATATTTTGAAAATATCATTCTAAAATAATTATATGTATTTACATGTATTATTTATATAATTTATATTATACATAAATATATTTAATATACAAATATAAAATTTTTCTTAAATATATACATGTATGTGTATGTATTTATATATACATAATAAAATATACACAGTACACACATTATATAAACAAAAACTTTTATTTTGGATGCGATTAATCACGATAATCACGATCGAGTTGATTGAAAGACGAATCAACTCGAAGTTCGCGGGGTCTAAAACCTGTCTCTGTGTGTGTGCGCTTTGGGTGTGTGCGGCGGCTGTGAGCACAGAAAACTGAACAGATCACACGCTGTCCGTAATGCGGTTTGTGCGCGTGCTTCAGGTGTGTGTCAGACAGCAAGACGAGACGGCAAGGAGTTGTTTTCTGCAACTTTTTGAACTTAAGTCTTTTTAACGTCAAGCTATTGTCTGCTATATGCGTCGACCTAAACCTTTGAATTTTTGCAACGTTTTGAAGTAGCCTATTATTAAAATGATTCAGATATTGCATGCCGTTGCGATATGCATATCGCGATATTTCGATATATCGTGCAGCCCTACTCATTACACAGGCACAGCTTCTTTGAAGGCTATGCAGCACATTAAATGCATACGCTCAGACACAAATGCACACACTACTTTACCAGTTGGGCTGCGCAGCCATGCGTTCCATGTATTCCTTGGCTACGTCCAGTGCACCTGCGCGGTGTGGGTACAGCAGGCAGAACATAGAGAGCAGGCCTAAGTTGTTCCCATAGACTTCATTCCAGCGGGCACTAAACTCAGTAGGGTTCCAAGGGGGCAGATACTCCTCCGGTCGCTCCAGTAGGGCCTCCCCGGCCTCCCGGATCTGTCGGGCCAAAGCCTTGTGCGTCCCCACCGCCGCCCGCTGCAGCTCCTCAACCTCTGCCTGGCCAAAATACAGCATGGGGTGAGTTCCCTCGTAGTTCCCTCCAAGGAACGTAATGCCTCCGCTGGGGTCCGCTTTAGCCAGAGCCGGGGACACTAGAATCCACAGTGCACTTATAAAGAACACTGTTGGTGCCCCACGGGTGTAAGTTCTCATTCTGGCATCAGAGAGGGAGAGACCACATCACCTTGCTCCCTCTCAGCTGAGGAGACAGAAAGAGAGAGACGTTATTGTCCCTGCTACACTGCTGGGTCTGAATGCCTGCAGTAATTAGAGCCAGCTGTAGGGCTGATCTCTCCGAGTTTTGCTACGCATTTATGAAACGGAGACGAAAGTTCACCCTGCCGCTTTTCTTCATCAGGCTCACAGGAAACCCCTCATGCCTGAAAGCTCCCTATATGCAGCACTCAAAAACAGAATTAATCAAAACTTTAAAGGGCAACATGTCTGTACGATAATAGTGGAGTGTTTGAGTAGAGTTTGAGCAAATCTTAACCGTCGCTGTTCCTGAACCACTTTCCAGAACACTCCTCCACAACCTGCCATGCATCGGTCAGATAAAACTAACTCATTGCAATGAGTCAATGATGTCGGTTTGCCTGATTATCATGGTCAAGTATGAGCCCCTACTATTAGATGCTGCACCATCTAATAGTTAGATTTTTGAACTGTTCCATTGTCAAAAGTCAATTAAAGGTCATTGCACACCGAGTCATAAATTTTCGCATGTTAAAAAATAAATACGACCTCACGTTGTGTCAATCACGTTTACACACTGCCTCCAAAACTTTTGTCCGTCATAAAAAATTTGGATCAGGTTCGATTTTCTGCGTTTTCGCATCCGTAGCAAGCATTTTGAAAGGTGTTTTGACAGTTCAGAGCCACCGTACAAGCGAACGCCAAAATCCAGAATGACG